ATATAAATCCTTAGATAGATTAGGTGGGAAAAAAACTAAATAGGCATAAGGAAAATGCTCCGTAGACATTAGTTATAATTATTATGAATATCCCTGTCAAGGTACAAAGTTAGAAGGCTTCTCCAATGCTTGCTGAAGATTTGGGTTATTTATCTAGAAGATGGGGATAATAACAACTGCTTTATCTACCTCCTGGGATTGCTGTAAAAAATAAATATAACATGAAGATGCACTGTGAATTTTAAAATACTCTATGAATATAAAGTTGCATTAATTTTTTGTTATTATGATTGTGATTATTTCTGTGCTATTTGCCATTTATGAACATAAATAGCTGGATCATTTTCAGAAGCTCACAGAGGTAAGAAGGTGGAGAACTCTCTTATGATAAGAGTGGACTCACTTTGATGTCTGATAGGATGGTTTGGTTTAAGTCCAGAAGCCCCAGCTTACACCGTGTTCTTCCGGACAAGAATGTGCTACAGCTGTCGGCCGTCCCACAGAACTTCTTATCCAAATGCTGTTCCAGCTGAGAACTTGACCCTCCTGTCACCAGCATCTGAAGTAATTCCAGGACATGGTAATTGTAGAAGGCCTGGAAAGCAAGAACAAGCCGCGTGCAGAGTCAGAAGAGCAGTGTGTGAGCAGCGGGGGTGTGCAGACGTGGAGACTCAGCAGCAGCACTGTTTGAGATGACCCTGATGGTGCAGAGCCGTGTTCCTCATTAACATTACCCAGAACAGCTAAAAGTGGGCAGTCTGGGTCGGGGGCTAGGTTACGCCAAGTGCAGGGAAAACAACCCTGACCCCGTGCCTGCTCCTTTGGCTTCCCCTGTAGGAGAAGAAGAAAGTGGGCCATGATACTCACCCCAAGGACTCCTCTCTGCCACGGACGACCAGAGGGGGTTGACAGGCCACTGATACAGTCATCGTCACCAATATACATTCTCCATGCATATGTATGAGACTTCCCACAGGTTTTCCCTTGGGGAACTGCTAATATCACTGTCGTCTGCACTTCAGTCTTCTGGACATACATCTACTGGTACTTTTGATTGCGATCTACTTGGGGACAGGTATTGGCTTAAGTCTTATTAACAGCTGGACCTCCCCTAGCTCTTATCACATCCTTCAGAAGTTGTAGGTACTGAATAACTAAACGAATGGGGTTTTAGAGTCTTTTGCATCAAAAGGAAACCAGAGGAGGAAATGTGGGCCAACTTCTTAGTTTGAAACAAGCTTGAATCTGAATAATTCTAGTTTACAAACTCTCTTTTTCAGGATCCCTACTACATTCATTGTGGACTAGGTGTTAACATACATGTACATGTCATTGCACTGTATTACTCACTGGATTTTCTCAAAGCTATTAAATATATACTATGTTTGATTTCCCAGCCTTTGTCGTGTCTAAATTAGACTTTTACTCCAGTAGGATTGAGAATGTATGTTTTTATGTTACATATAGAAAAATCAATGTTTGTTTTTATAACAAATAACAGGAATAACTTCAATGGTTATTGCTTTCGATATTTTGTCATTCATTTCTTCTACTCTCAAATTTGGAGACTCACTTTCTGAAGCCTCAATTATTACAGGGACCTCCTTCCTAGTTTTCCTGCCTTGGTTTTCTTCTCATTTGCAATCCATAGCTCACAGTGCTTCCAGAGTGATTCTTCAGTAACACAGTTCAGATCATGCCATTGACCTCCTCAAACCTGGAGTGTCGTACACCTGCTGCAGAGCCCAGCCCAGTCTCCTTGCTGTGGCCTTCACAACCCTCCTGGTCTGATAGGGCCACCTCTCCAGGCCCAGCCCTCCGTGACCGCCCCTCCAGGCACACTAGTCTGCAGCTGCGCACGCCACGCTTTCACCCCGCCGGCCTCTGCTTTTCATGTCTCAGCAACCTATGACTTTCCTGGGCCTTCTCATCAGAGTGAAGTTTTCCTTTCTTTGTGGTCCCACAGCCACCGGCTTTCACTCTATCCATTCTACTGTATTTCATAGTTTGTTTGAAACATGCCTGAGTTTGAATCTTCAACAGTCCCATGCTAGTTGAGTGCCTTTGGGCAATGCACGTTATTTTTTTTCTCAGCAACTGTTGTATCATCTGTAAAGCTGACATGATAATTTTAGCATTGTTTGCAGAATTGAATGAGATATATGTTTGGGTCATCTGAAGTGATACTAATGTGTACAGAGTTCTGGGATCCCGGAAGTCCTGGATCAGAGTTCATGGGCA